GCCGGCACCGCACTCCGCACCCACAAAAAGATCCTCCTCTCCGGCCCCGCCTCGTTCTTCATGCAAATGAGTCTTGCTTGGTGGACGGAATTTTTCGCCTCGCGAATCAACATCCATAAACAAGAAAGCTGACTAAGCAAAAAGAACGCAGCACTTTCCTCCCTCCTTTTTTTCGGATCGAGGGGGATGGACCACGCAAACGGCTTAGCGCGGTCAGGGTCCGGTCCACGGGCCGCCGCGCACGGGGAGCTGGAAGCTGGAGGCCGGGCTGAGGCTGTACACTGTAGAAACATCTGGAGGATATAGTATGGAGGCCCGAGCGTCGGAGGCTCGCCGTGGGGTCCGAGGCGTGGGGGCGAGACGTAGCTGCAAGTGCACAAAATCCCTGGCCGACCCCCATGGAACAAGCAAGCTCAGGAGGCCGCAAGTCCTGGGATGAGCAGAACCAATATGGTGGCGGCTGTGACCGCTGTGCCCGTGGCCCCGGGGAACATCAGCAGTGTCGCGGGCGGGGCGTTGCGAACGGGACGCACGGCGGACGCGGCGGCTCAGGGGCGCTGTCTGTGTCAGTGCCGGCCGGTTTGAGCCAACGGCAGCACGCAAGCCCGGCGATTTCGGCCTCGAGCATGCTTCGTCTTCCGATCTTTTCCGCAACCCACCACCCAATTGTTGAGAGGGAAAAAGGCCAGTCTCCAAGATCAGTGTTTAGCCAGGCCCGGATTAATTGAGCGTCGTTCAGCCCGGGGAAAACCCGGGGGCCCCTAGGCCGAACGTCACGGCTCCGGCCGAGACTGGTGCGCCTCCGCCGAGGCCCCCGCACCCCCCACCCCCCACCGGCAAAAGCGCGCCCCTAACCTTTTTGTGCGCGGGACTGAGACCGCGGCGGCTTAGCGCGGCTCAGGTACCCACCGCACGTCCCTACGGTCCGCCGCCACGCGCACGGGGACGCTGGAAGCTGGAGGCCGGCGGCTGGAGGCTGTGGAGGCTGGAGGCGCTCTGGAGGCTCTGGAGGCTCTGGAGGCTGGAGGCGCTCTGGAGGCTCTGGAGGCTGGAGGCTCCGAGGAGGCAGGGGGATGAGACGATAAGCTGCAAGTGCACAAAACCCCTGGGGCCGACCCCCATGACCCCCGCAGCCTCACAAGCCCCGCAAGCCCGGCGGCAGGAGAGAAGGGAATATGGTGGCGGCTGTGCCCAGGCTGTGCCCGTGGCTGCCGGGGAACATCAGTCAGTGTCGTGGTGTCGGTGGCGTTGCGAACGGGACGCGGCGGACGCGGCGGACGTCAGGGGGCGCTGTCTGTGTCAGTGCCGGAGGCGGTCGTTAACCACCCTGCAAAGCACTGCAAAGCCCGGCGAGCAGTCGGACTCTGAGCACTGCTTCGTCGCTCTGTCTCTCCCGCACCCCGACGGCACGCCCCGAGAGTGCGAGGGAAACGGAGGCAGTCTCCAAGATCAGTGTAAGCCGGTCCGCGGTTTATATTGAGCGTCGTTGAGCACGGGCAATGAGCAACCGGAGCAGCCCCTCCGGGTCGCGTCACGTCACAGGGACCGCGGAGACGTGGCTGCTGCCTCCGCCGAGGCCCCCGCAGCCCCCGCCCCCACCCCCACCGGGCAAACAGCGCGCCCCTTAACCCTGCTATAGTCCGCCAGACCACTGAGGGCTTCACTCCGCTTCCTGATGATATTATTCCGACGACGTGCGGATCGAGCCCCCCTCCCCCCCCCCTCCTGCTTTTCCTTCTCAGCCCCAACGATCCCTCGCGGCACGCCAGGCTCGGGGGGCTCGGGGGACTCTGCGGACTGAGCGGCAGCCCAGCGGTCTGTGTCTCTGTCTTGCTCCTCCGCGACGCCCCTTGAGTGCGAGAGAGAGAGAGAGAGAGAGAGAGAGACTGCTGCGGAGGGCTGTCTCTCCGTTCCGCTTGCGTCTGCTGCGTCTGCTGGCTTTGTATCGCCTCTGCACCCCGCCTCGCCTCGCCTAGAGCCTCGCAGCCTCGCAGCGGCGAGGAGGGTGAGGCGTTTACGGCAAGTTTTCGCCCGGCCTCGGGGGAGGTATAGGCCGGCCGTCCTAGACCGTCCCGACGCCGGACCCCCTGCGCGGCGGTTTCCCTACCGCGCTATTGCTTTTGCTATTGACGGCTGGACCACATGATCGTATGCCTTCCGGGCGCGTCCGGCCACGCCGGCGGCGGCACATCAAACGTGACGGATCGTCCTTGGGGGAACGGATTACTATCGCGGCGGAGCCGGAACACTCGCCCACAGAAAATAATTTGCAGTGAAAGAGGTCTTTCGAACCATTCACCACAGCGAACCTTGGCAGAGTCCAGCACCCCCTGTTTATCTCACGGGGCTGCTTCACACCGGCGCCCGTGCACTCCTTCTCTCCTCCCTTTTCTCCGCCTTCTCCCGCGGCTCTTTGCTGGAGTGCGAGGAAGTATTGCACAGGAGCTCAACCCTTATCTCTTTCTCTCTCCCTTTCGTTTTTTTACGTTCCCTTCCCGCGCTTAACGTCGTCTTCCTCGCGTTCGCTCTTTATTCTCCGTTCCCTCCCTGGGGTAAATGCGGTACAATGTCGCAGAGAGCCTCCATTACGCGATGAAGCCGCTCGGGCTGCTGGCGCTGCCGCGGCGCGCCGTGGCCGGGCTTAACCCCGGGCCGCGCCCCCACCCTCTTTACTTTCTTTGCGGCCGGCCGATGGGTCGCGGACGCGGGAACGCAGCGAAACGATGTTGGAATAACGCGGCAGGGCCGTGGCGCACCGTGTTTTGAGCTCCAGAGTCGCTAAATGGGGCTCGAACCGAACGTGTGACCCCACCATTGGATTCCTCGTTCGGAGAGCTATCCATTGGTGGGGTCACACGTCCAGTTCGAGTCCACCGGTCTTCGGGCCGCTTCTGGCAAATCCACTGTGCCTCGCTGCCCGCCGCTACAGCCTGCCCCGCTACAGCTAGCTACAGCCTGCCCCGGAGCAGAGGCAAGCCAAGAGGCAAGCATTGCGGCGCTAAATCAAGGGGGGACTGAGTCAAAGTTCAGGGGGTGGGGGCGGGCGAGGCGCGCTGGCCAAAAAATCTCATTCAACGAACGTTAATGAAAGCAGATGATACTCGTTTGGTTTTCTTATACGGGGTAGTATGCGGGATCATTCCAAAGATCTTTGTATTTGTATTTGTATCTATAGTATTTAAAATTGTGTACGAAACAAAATACACTGACCCGAGTGAGCTGGCCGGTGTTGGTACTAGCCGTGCCGAGCTGTGGCCTGCACCGCACGCCGCCGAGCCCGAGCGAGCGCCAAGGCCGGGCCGAATCGGGAGGCATTGTTGGGCGATACTCCGCGCCGTGGCAGGCGGGAGGGATTGTCAATGCGAGGAGGAGGTGCCATTGTTACCCCGGTGCCGCTGGCGCTGTACCGCGGAGGCATTGTCGAATTCCGCGCAGGCTGCGCCTCATTGCAAGCCAGCCAGCCAGCCACACGCACCAGCCCGCCCCGGCCGCCAGCCCCATTATATGTTAGGATACGCGCTTGGTTCTGCACTCGAGATAAAAGCACGCTGACACTTCATTTGTGTATGGTAGTTTTAAGTATGTTTCAAGTGTGAAGGTATCATCTGCTAAAAAACCGCGCGCTCCCATTTTATTTCATCGGAACGCGCCGCCGCCATGCTGTGATGCCCGCCCGGCCCGCCACTGCCCGCCCGCGGACGGCCCGACCGCCCCCGCGCCCGCTTCGGGCTCATTCCGACTCCGAACGGAATGCTCCCGTTCCTCTGTCTTTCTCGCTCTCGCGGCGCGCGCCAGGGGTGCGAGAGAAACAGCGATATGCACCGCTCGGAAACAGCTTGCTGCCGCGATGCTTTGCTCCCGGGCCGGCTGCCATGCCCGCCCGCGGACGGCCCGACCGCCTGCGCGCCCGCTTTGGGCTCATGGCTGACTCCGAACGGCATGCCTCGCGTTCCTCTGGCTTCCTGGCTCTCGCGGCGCGCGCCAGGGGTGCGAGAGAAACGCGGCTGGCTGCCGCTCGGAACAGTTTGGGCTGCTCCGGCGGCTGAACTTTGGCTCCGGCTGGCTGCCTGGCTGGCTGCCTGGCTGGCTGCCTGGCTGGCTGCCTGGCTGGCCGCAGGGAAGTACCGCCACCGCCAGGCGCCCCGAATCCTGCCGGGCAGATTAATTGATTTAGAAGCTGGAGGCAAGTTCGGGGAAGTGGACGTCCAACCCAGAAGCAGGCCGGCACGCCTCGCCCGCCGCGCCGACATGATGCCACTCCGCCCTGCTGCTGCTGTTTCGGACCGGCGGGTTATGGCGGTATGGCTGTGGGAGGCCCAGTGGGGGCGCACCGTGCGGCCCGCCACTGGCCCGCCGTCGCCCGCTCTTCTCCGGTGGTTGTTTGTGTCGCGGCCCGGGGCAGCTAGGGGCAGCGGCCCGGGGAAAAGAGGTGTCACGTCGACACGGTAAATTAAGGCAACGCAGGCTGGCGCCAGCTAGCGCCAGCCAGAGCGGCGACCACGAGTCGAGCTGTTAGCACCCCCTCCCCGCTCGCCTCAATTTGCAAGCGCAGGGGATGTTCGCCCCGCCGCGCCCCGCCCCACCCCGCCCCGCCCCGCCCCACCCCGCCCCACCGCGAATTAGTACGGAATGCCCTCCACTTGGAGTTGGTGGCGCGGTGTTTGTCGGGATTGCCATGCCAGCTGACGACGGTCTGACGACGGCGGCGCGGCCCGCGGCTTGCCGGTGGCGCCACACCTGGGGACGCTCCCACACTATCACCGAACGGAAGGGGAGCTCATGGGCGTCGATCCGACCGCACGCATCGCCACGCATTGCCACGCACACCGCAGCGCGCCGACAATGCGACAAGTGCGCGGGGTGCGGCGCGTTCCAGAACTCTCATGCCGTCCTTGTCTCTTTCGCACCCTCACGGCAAGCTGCACGCGTGCGCGAGAGACAGCGACACGAAAGCAGTGTTCGGAATGGCTTACCTCACCTTGTCCCTCTCTGTGTTGCAGGATGCGCGAGTTCGTGGAGGAGAACGAGAAGAGCGACCCCCTGATCCACGCGCCGGACAAGAAGAACAACCCCTGGGCGGAGAAGGGGAAGTGCTCCATCATGTAAACGTTGGTGACGTCGTCCTCGCCCTCGTCCTCCTCCCCTCCAACCTGCCCACTCCCCTGCCCAACCCGCCACGCCACGCCGCGCCGCCTCTCCGCGCCCTCCGCGGCGTCCTCGGGTCCACCCTCATCATGCACTGCACCATGGCGCCATGACTTCGGTGCCATGACCACAGTGCCATGGCCTCGGTGCCATGATCACGGTGCCGTGACCACGGTGCCATGACCTTGGTACCTTGACCATGGTGCCATGACCTCGGTGTCACGACCATGGTGCCATGACCACGGTGCACCATGTACCACAGCGGTCAGCGCGGCGCGGCGCACCGACCAAGTGGTGTGTTCATAAAACATGTGCTTAAAAGTCGTTCCATGCCAACAGTAATGTTCAATATTATTGTTGTTTCTGATTATTAAAAAAAATACCAAATTGTTGTCATGTTAGAGTGACTAATACTGCAAGAGTTGCATAATAAACAATAATGCCATTTTCACCTATCTTTATAAGTTAAACATAATATTGTCATTTGTGCTAAGATTTATTCCATTGTCAAACTTAAGTGTGTATTTATGTGTTACTGTGTAAGACATGACTGGGTGTTCTACACTGGATGTCATGAGTGCAGAAGTGATTCTGATGAGTGATTTGTGAACCTGACTGTGAGGCCATGTCTCGACATCCTCTGGGACGCAGAGAATGAGCCCATTTCTAAACTCTAGTCCAGTGGCGTGTCAGTGAACCAGAAATAATTAGTTGCAGTTATTTATACTTCTTTGTCCACATACACGTCCCTGATTTTGTTTAATCCATAATGTTTGTCAATTTCCCAAACATTCCACTTTAGGTGTATTTGTTGTTGTTTTGTTGAAAGATGTTAATGTTTTGTTCTTTTTTTTTTGTTGCTTTGCTTTTGAAATGGTAATAGGAAGGTTGCACGCCACTGTTTTGTATTCATAGCCATAATCTGTAAAATGAAATCAGAGTAGATCATTTTTGTTACTTAGTGTTGATAATGCTATGTTGCTTAAAAGATGCTCCACAAGGCGTGGTTCTCCAATCTAGAATCAATGTGGCATATTGCAACGGCTCAATCTATCATAAAATAAATCAAACTTCTTCTTTAAAACCATTTTTAGATCAATTTTTTTTGTTCTGTAGATCTAATGAGTTCAACCATGTGCTCAAGGCAATGTAACACCTTGTCCCCTTTCCAAATTTTAAAAATTAAGTACTGTAACCCAGTTATTGAAACATATTTGGATTCTCAACCACTTCTAAACTTTTCAAGGAGGCAATAATGTTCAGAAAGGTAAAAGTAATGAAACTTCAGTCTAGTCATATGATATTTTCAATTGTATGTTGTAAAACATAGTTTGGGACACGTCTTAAATTTTATTTATCACATTAATCAATAAAAGCTGTGGAGAAAATATTGTGTTGGTTTCTTTCTATTCACTTTATCATTCATGTTAGTTTTCCAAAGTCTGGCTTGCTTGACTGAAGGGAAGGTGAAAATAAGATACTAGGGTTATTCACCTTTTATTAAGTTTTATTTTACAAAAAGGAAAACAAACAAAGAAACTGAGACGCTAGACTGATTTAAGTTTGTAGAGGCAAAGGAAAGCCACATCAACAGAATGACATTAATATTTTAGTGCGACAATTGACTTAACACTGGAATGCTGGCACACTTGTGGGAAAGGCAACAAGACAACAATTACGTCATTAAAACATAACGAAGACATGTTTTGTGATGAGAAAAGCCAAAACAGTTCTGTAATTTACTAAATAAGATCAGTTCATTTGATAAATTCAATTAACATATTTAACACTCAGTATAAAAATTATTCACTCTTGCTTTTCTTTGGTTCATCCTTGTAATGAAGGTACACAACACTAAGGAGAACAACACCAAGCATCATACTAAATGCACTAGTATAATAGGGGTAAGCACTTAAAATAAAGCGCTCATACTGAGTGTGCTCCAGAGGACGAACAGATACCTGGAAAGAATTTTTTAATCAATTAAATTATTAAGTACCATTTTAAAACTATTAAAGACAGCAAAATTTTGATATATTCTTTACCTGAGTTGTGCTGAATAATCTCGTGTATCCAATGCGGTTGTATTCAACCTTAAATTGATAAACACCATACACATCAGGAATTTTGAAGCTCACTTCATACAGGCCAGAAGATTGTTGGTACTTCAAAGTTGTCCTAACAAATGGGTCAATTCGAACAAATTCCAATTGCACATCATTTGCCTTAAATGGCACCCACTTGGTTCCATCGTACTGATCAATGCCAATGGAATACACCTGCAATTGGCAAAATAGCAATTAAATATGTGCCTTGCCTTTCTTCATACCTACACTCCTCAGAAATAAAACTTACTACAGTGTCCATGATAGTATAACTGGAAGGAGGACTAGTTTCACCCTTTTTGTGATGCTTCACAGACTTCACGCGCAGAACACCACTTTCCCTTAACAGCCAGCGGCTGATAGCAGTTGCAACTTGGAGATTCCCAGACAGCTGGTGTTTCTTGTTATCCTGGAAGCAATAGATTTAACATGAATCCTAGGTAACATCGAAAAATTGGCAACAAAGATTGTCCTTCCTTTAGATAAAGAGAGGGGAACTAACCAGAGCCCTCTGCACAGGTGATGCAAAAGCTTCATCAGAGAAAAAGTAGAGAGAGCCAGAGAACACCACACGGGCATTGTTCCGGGCTTGAAGGGCAGCAATCAGAGCAGTATTTTTGCCAACAGCATGAGGGTACTGCAATAAGAAAAGAAAATACATACAATGTGACTACAGCCAACCTAAAATTGCTATCACTTTTTTATGTTCAGAACACTGTTTACCTCATCAATAGCACTGTCTGGATTGTAGCTGTATGCTGAGCTGTCAGCAGACAACAAAGTCAGCACTAGAGGGTTCTCCCGATCAACAACCAAGCCTGTTCCTTGATACAGCAGGGGTGAAGAGGTTTTTGGACCAACAATGACAGGTGCATCAATAAGGTTTGCTGGGTTGGCAACAATAAGTGTGTGCTTCCCAGCGTCCTTGACATCGTAATTCAGATGATCAATCACAGCAGCTCCGTCATCATCAACTTCAAAACCACACTCAGATGCGATTTCTCGAATCAGGTCACTTGTGCTCGGGCTGGCAGCAACAAGCAGGTTACCTGAACAAATGTAAGGCAGAAATGAGCAAGGAATTATACTTAACTTCAAGCAAATAAAAGGAATGACACTCACCACCCCCATCAACAAATTCAGTGATGGCATCAACGCTTAAGGAGCCACCAAACTCATCAACAGAAGGGGCAAACAATATGAGATGCTCATACAGATATTCTCCATACTTCGTGAGGGATAAGCTGGCATCGTCAGCTGACTTGAAGGTGAGGACATATCCCCTTTCTGAAACCAAAAGATACAGCAATTAGTGACCAAAACAAACATGAAGGAGCTTAAGAATGTAATAATAGATACAAACAGTAAAAGGAAAGGATGGCTAGTTTTGCATGAGTTTAAAAATAGTTTATGGATGATCATGGACTGGTCAATAGGCAAAAAATTCCAAAAATTTACACTACTAGCAGACGCCAAGTCAATTTCATACATGGCCATTTCAATGAAGCCGGCGAGGCAGTACCACACAACTTGTAATAATGGCAAAGTATCACCAATAAAGTAGTGTAGGACGAACTAGCAGCAACCGCGACACGTGCCAATCGAGTTTTCACCAAACGCAGATTACCTTACTTTACAGAAAACTAAAAACTGACGTGTTGTTGCCATCAAGCCACCGGCACTAACCTTGCAGGGATTTGAAGAAAACGGAGTGAGTTTCCTTGATAGCTAAGTTATCCAATAATACCAATGTATTTCCACCAGCTTGAACACTGGCGAATAATGTTACTAATGTTGATAAAACGAATACATTCACTAATTTTCTTGAGGAAGTCATGTTTCTAGTTGACTGTACCATCATCGCCGGAGACGTTGGCACTTGGCAGATCGCGCAGTGTTGCCAGTTCGATCGCCGCCCCGTCGACAAGAAAGGAACACTAGTTGAGTGTTCTGCAGGGCAGTGGTTTAATCCGGATGTGACGTTGCCCCGCGAGTTTTAAACTCTATTCTCGTTCCGGACAGGCCCTGGACAGGCCAGTAAAGCTTTGAGAATCCAGTCTACTTTAGGAAATGCTCACGGCAAATAAGTCGCTTTGTGGAACCATGCCGTAAAATTGTGGTGCTGTGAATAACATACAACTTTTATTCAACAGTTTTTTAATTTAACAGGAAAAGTGTTGTTAGTTTTGAATTATTGTTTCTCTGCTTTTCTCAAATATATGTGGGAATGTACATGAAATAAATGCCTCATACGTAATACAGATTTATTTGCTCACAACAATGGAAGGGCTTTTTAGTCATCCATTCCTTCTTCATTTTTGTTGGGTGCGTTCCGAGATTTGAATATTCGGACGGTTTTGTCAGCACCACCAGAAACCATGTATTTAGGATTGCTCCAGTCACAGCACATAACTTTATCATCATGTCCTTCCAAGTTATACAATGGAGCTTTGGGGCTGAAAAAAAATTAATATAGTAATTATGGTTAATCCTTGATTTATCTAGTCAATTTAATGTTCAAACTTGCTTGGTTTAAGCTAAAATCCACTAACCTTCTAGAATCCCAAAGCAAAACTTGACTATCATGGGCTCCAGACAGGAAAAGGTGTTCATCTGTTGTGGACCATTTCACTGATTGCACCCATTTTGTGTGGGATGTGAACATGCTTTTCACTAAAGATCCTTCTGCAAAAATCAGAAGAAAACAAATCTTTACATTCATGGTACAGTTCACTGTAAACCCTTTTTACTTCATAAATTATACATACCAGTAGATCTAAGGTCATACAATCTTATGTGTCTATCAGCAGATGCAGTTACGACTGTTCCATTTAGAGCGGAATAGGACATATCAAAGAAGGGCTTATTTCCAGCAATTTCAGTTTTGATGCCACCTAGTTCACCATCCCACAGCCGGAGAGTATGATCCCAGGACGCTGTTGCTAATTCTTGAGTATCTGTCCATACAACTGAGGAAATGGCTTCTTTGTGTCCTTTAAGAGTCATTATAGGAGTCTGAGAAGGTGGGAAAAAATTTTCTGTTTAGTATCTTATTGAGGGAACATTCAAGAGACAACTTCAGTTTTAGAACTAGTTTCTAGACATCTAGTGGTTGTTTTCTAAAAGGTGTACCTTAATATGAGATTTTAATTCCAATTTAGCTCTCTTGGCATCAGATTCATCTGAATCACCAGTGGACTGAGCAGGCACTGCCACTGTTTCACGCATGGCTAATAAAAATAACAAATATATCAGTATACAGACAGGCAGTTGCAATTGGCAGAGATGAATAAAACAAAGAGAGTGTTCTGATAATTTTATCTAACTTACATGTTGTCCAAATTTTTAACAGGGTATCCCACCCTCCTGTAGCCATGAGTGTTGAGTTATGATTAACAGATACACATTCAAGAGACCGCTCATGACCTCGGCATACATGAATACAGTCAACAGAATTTTCTTCAATATTCCATTTCCATAGCATTGCAGTTTGATCATGTGATACACTAGGAAAGAAAAAATGAAGAAGATTACAAATTCCATTCTTGAAAATAAGCAAGGTCAAATTCATTTCTTTAGAAGCCAATTTACCTCACAAAAGATCCTACAGTGGGAGTTAAAGATACCCAGGCCACAGCTTTTACAGGACCTGAATGGCCAGGGATTGTCAAGTGATGGGTCCCAGATTTTGTCCACAGATGAAGTGTGTTATCATAGCAGCCTGTAAGAATCCTATGAACAGAGAGTATTTATGAAGTATTAAGACATTAAAGAAAATATAATTATAATGGAAAGGACATAAGTATTACCAGCCGTTGCGAACTTGAACAGCTGAAACCCAGTCATCATGCATGAGGCAATCCATAGGCTCAGGGGTAGGATGTTGCTCGACATACTCGACATCCACCACCTCCTCACTAGAAATGTTGCGTTCCTCCAATAACTCATTTAAAGGCTGAATCAAGAATTCTTTGCACACAATGAAGTCAAAGTCTACAGGTGTAGAAATATCTGTTCTGTTTTCTGAAAGCAGGAATATAGAATTACAGTACCTTGATACAAATCGTCTAAGGAAAGTAAAGTGTACAAATTGCTTATCATCAAAAGCATACTTACCACTTAGTAATTGGTTAAGTAGTGTGTTAAGCTCCGCCGGAGTAATTCCAGATGGTACGGCAAACGGTATGTCTGGAACGGCATACCTGAAAGAAGAATTGAAGAATTTCATATCTCCACACTACATGATTCATCTCACATGACAGAAAGGACACAAGTAAAAGACGTGGTTCACTCAGAATACAGACTAAAACTACATTAACGCAACTGGTGAATGGTAAATAATGTGCAACTGGATCCAACGCATGACACAATAAGAAATAAACAGATAAATGTTGATTCAACGTAAATAGGGGAACCACAAAATAATTCAACTTACTGTTCCTGTTTTGTACTAAATCTAATTTGAACCTGGCCCTGGCCAGACCCTTGTTCACTCGCCATGGTAAACAGTAGGTTAGGAACGTAAGTAAGCACCAACTTTAAAACAACAAAGCTTCACACTTTAAAGCTGGAACTGATCCATAGGAAATCGTTGTTCAAAACAAGTTTTACGTCAAATTGGGATTGATTGTGACAAAGCAAGAATGGGAAAAAGGAACAAATCTTGACTAATGAGTGAGAACGTGCACGAGTAAACGCCGTGCCGTCGACATACACACACACACACACATGCACACACACACACACACACGTCTAGAGTATGAGAAACCGACCGCTACACAGTCCCAAAATGGTCAGACTCCTGCACTTAAATAAAATAATTGTTTGATCATAAAACTTAAAATTTTTCAGCCCTTATGTAAAATAAAACCTTTTTCATGCGTGGAATATTTATCCTTAACTTTAATCAACCTGGTGTGCTTTCACTTGTTTGGTTTTTCAAATCTGTTTTGTTTTCGCAGTTGGTAAAAGGAGACCGGCAGCAGACGACGCGCGTGTGTTTGTTGATAGTTTGTTTGGTTATTTTGACATCTCTGATTTTTGTGAAAATCAGAATCAAATTGTTCGCTGTTAGTATAAAACTTTCGAAACCGGTGGACTTTCATACCCTCTCTTTCTTTTCCTGACATCTTAGATCCGTAACCTAAGCTGTCAATAACTTGGCAAAACGTTAGATTAATTTCCTTAATTTCTGGTTACAGGAGTGGAATAGGATATCACATTGTCCATGATCAAGCACAATGCCTGCTTTCCCAAGGATCAAACTGTCATCTCTCAGAAGGAGAAATGTTGATTTCTGTTCTGGAAATCCTAGTGCTTTTAGTGATAGTGCGGTTGATGACAATAAGCGACAGAAAGTAACGAAGAAAGATGCTGCTTGTGGTACAGATTCTCCAGTTGAAAGCAGGGTTGAAACCTCCCAAAAGACTATTGGCCAATCCCAAGAGGACGTCCGCAGTACTGTGCCTGCCACAGCAGCCTGCGGAGATGATTCATTCGTTGGACAGGAATGTTTAAAAGATTCATTCTATGATGTACCATGTGAACAGCTAGCTACGGCCCTCTTGGGAAAGGTCCTAGTCAGGCGATTAGAGAATGGTCAAATTTTGAAAGGCCGTATTGTGGAAACTGAGTGCTACCTTGGTGGAGAAGATAAGGCATCACACTCCTACCGGGGTAAAATGACAGAACGAAATGCTCCAATGTTTATGAAGCCTGGCACAGCCTATGTATACTTCACTTATGGCATGTACCATTGCTTCAATATATCAAGCCAAGGTAAGTTAAACCCTTTCAAAATAAATAAAATGAGCCCTTAATGGTAATGTCAATGGCGGGTAGGCAATTCGAGGGCAGGCGACATGAGTGCGTTCGGGTTGCCTACCCCGCCATTCGCAGGCGCTTTCAGTACTTCAGTCCGATTACGAAGGGTCGTTTCGTGGCTCTGCCTCGAAGTGCGAGAGAGACAGAGCGACGCAAACGACTCTCGGAATCAGTCTGCTGGAATGACGGGTCCTTGCTGCAGGTGCCGGCGCCGCGGTGCTGGTGCGCGCGGTGGAGCCCCTGGAGGGCGTGGACGCGATGGCGGAGCTGCGCGCGCGCGGCGCCAAGAAGAAGAAGGCCGCCAAGGACAAGCCTCCGCCGAAGGGCCTCAAGCCGCACGAGCTGTGCAGCGGGCCGTCCAAGCTGTGCATCGCCTTCGACATCGACAAGGACTCTTGCAACAAGCGCGACCTGACCAGCTGGCCGGGCCTGTGCGTGTGCCAGGGCGGCGGCGCGCACCGCCAGGACGACCAGGACCGCGTCGGCGACCACGGCCAGGACGCGGCGGTCGTGGTGACGAAGCGCGTGGGCATCGACTCGGCGGGCCGCGACTGGGCGGACAAGCCGCTGCGCTTCTACCTGATGGGCAACCCCGCCGTCAGCAAGCGCGACCGCGCGAAGGAGAAGGAACTCGCCGCCAAGGCAGCCAAGGCAGCCAGCCCGCAGCCCTGACCACCACCAACCCCCCGGCCCACCCAGTGCTGCCACAGGCATCGAACGGGTCGCCAACCTAAGCCCATCTACCCGCCAACTTCTCGAGGACAATCCCAGATGTCTCGTAGGCAGGCTGAGGTTGGCAACCCTTTCGGCACTGGTGCACCGTGGAAAACTTCGCCTTCCTATGTGGCCGCACGGGCCCAACCTCATCCTAGCAACTCACTCCGTACTTATTCCTCACTCTTGTCAATAAAGACCGCGCTGTGAACTGAAAAGTAGTTGTCGTTACTTTGTCCTTTAAACACGGCGTCTCAGGTCGTCAGCGTGGGCGGGGCAGCCTGCCGTCGATACTCCGCGACTGCGGGGAGGCGCTGGCGCGCGGGGTATCGCCCACAATACGCCGGCCACTCCCCGCCACGCCACGCGTGCTGCTCGGGGTGAGCCGCGAGCGGCGAGGCGCGCGGAGAGACTCCCAACAGGGCGGCCGTCGCTCTGTCTCTCTCGCACCCCTGGGACGCCCCGGGACGCCCGTGGGTGCGAGAGAGACAGCGCGACCGCAAGAATCTGTTCGGAATCAACCTGCAGAGGCGAACAACAGACGCGAGATGAAGGATGGGAATTTTTAATCAAGATGCCGTTCGCTGTTTCGAGAGTTCGTGCCCGGGCATGTAATGTACTGGTGGGACGAAACTCTAGCCGAGGCTTTGGCGGTGCGGTGCGCGTGGCTCGGTACAGTCGCTGCGCACAGTGGCACGGCCTTGTGAAGGTGGCGGCCGATCTGCGCTATCGACAGTCCGCAGAACTACAAGCCAAGCCCGGCCAAGCCCAAGCAAAGCCGCCTTCGAAAAAAAAGTTCATCTTTGTAAATTATTTAAAAGAGGGAGGCTGGAGAGAGATAGAGCGCGCTGCTGTCGGTCGGCACGACGCGAGGCACGACGGGTCCCTGGGAGGCGCCAAAACAAACCGCCGCTCCCATTGTGTGTGGATGCGTTCCCAATCGAGGAACAGAATTGTTTCCCTCTTTTTGTTTTTGCTTTTTGTTGGTCGCTTTGTTGCTCGACGCGTGACAACAACATGGGCCGGCCTCGGCATTGGCATTCCCTCGGACCGGAGAGAGCCTTGGCCGAGCCATGGCCGAGCAGAGCCGCGTTCTCTCCGTCTCCCTCGCACGCACAGGGCCACGCACAGGGCGCGTCGCGGGAGAGCGAGGGAGACGGCGCGAAGCAGCCTGCAAGTGGCGGGGGCAGCAGGGGGGCAGCGCGCCCCGTGAATCAGGGTACTCGGTGACGGCAGACTCGCAGACTCGGACGGCCCCATGTGTCTTTCCGAGAAATAAAACCGTCCGATGCCGTCACGTCCACCATTATTGCTTGCGGCTCCTCGCCGCCACGCGCCGCCTGCGCTGTAAAACTGCCTTTTTCCCCCCTTTTTTTGTGACTTTGCTGACGGTTTGAAAAGCATGCATGACCCGAGTTGAGGGCCCCTTATTCTCTTTTGTGATGCACTTTTTCCCGGCTTCATATGCGTGTACGCCCGTCTCGCCGTCCTTTTGAATCTGCTGAAGCGACGAGTTTCTGTTCACTTTTTTTTTGTGAGGTGCATTCGCCCTCGCTAAAACTTTTCTGCCTGGATATCCGCCCCGGGATGCTACTGGCTGCGCCGCTGAACGCCCACAAAGACTACTCTTTTCGACGTCATCAACAGGCGTTTCATCGCTTCGGAGCTATCTCCCCCTTTTCCCGCTCAATGGCTCAAAAGTTGAAAATTGCCGTTACTCGTGCAACTTTGCCGCCGCTGTGCCCTACGAGTGCGAGAGAGACAGAGCTCCGTTTGAGATCGGTCTGCTGCCGTCTGCTCCCGTCTGCTGCCGTCGTGTACAGCCCACAGGTGGCAGGTGGCTTCGCCTTCGGACGGGCCGGCATTGCCGAGTGTAGAACCGCACTTCGATTTCCCCGCCTCGGTCGCTGGCCCCGAATGTGCCCTACGCCCACGCACTCCCACTCACTCAAATACACACACACACACACACACACCGCACTCACACACACTCACAAACACACACACGCACGCACGCAGGGAAAGCGCGAGGGTGTCGCGGCAGGGAAAGCGCGACGGCTTCGCGGCAGGGGAAGCGCGACGGTGTCGCGGCAGGGGAAGCGCGACGATGTCGCGGCAGGGGAAGCGCGACGGGTCGCGCAGCCCGTGAATCCATCGGGATCGGACGGCGACTCGCGAGATACGACGTCGCCCACATGTGTCGCCAGATAACGCGATCGAAAGCCGTCACGTCCCTTATTGACATTGCGGCAAATGCCTCGCGCAAACGCGCGCTGCCTTAACTGCTTTTCCCCTTTTTCGTGCTTTCTCTTCTCATCGTTACCCTATTCTCTTGTCGACACAATTATTAAATCCGCTATGCGGTACGCCCGGCCAGCCATTTAATCTGCAAGTCCGATTTCTTTCATTAATGTTTTATTTCGAAGGTGATTCGCCATCGTACGACTTTTCCTGCCGTTGCCGGATGAGTGCGCGCGACGTCACGACTACTTTGCGCCGCATAGAAGGCGTTTATCGTTCGGCAGCCGCGCGTTCCCGCTCGCCGTGTTCGTACCTGCACGTGTTGCCCCCTGCGCCCTCTCAGGTAGGGCTCGTTAGGACGGTTGCTGCGCGCTGCTTCGCTCCTCGTACACACGGTCGGCAGGGGCTTGACTTCGGACGGGCCCATTGTCGGTTGCCGCTTCTTGCCCGGCGCTGCCGGGTAACGCACTCCCATATAATACCAATACACAACCACACACAGATCAACCCCCAAACCCCAGAGCACGGGGAAGCGCAGGGGTCGCCGGCAGGGAAAGCGCGACGGCTTCGCCAAGCGCGACGTGTCGCGGCAGGAACGCGACGAGTGGGAGGACGCGCGTGTCCGCAGGGAAGCGCGACGGTGTCGCGCAGGGGAAGCGCGACGATGTCGCGGCAGGGAAGCGCGAGGGTGTCGCGCCAAGGAACGCGACGGCGTCGCGGCAGGGCAGGAGCGCGACGATGTCGCGCCAGGGAGCGCGAGGGGTCGCGGCAGGGGAACGCGAGGGTGTCGCGGCAGGAAGCGCGACGTGCGGCAGGGAAGCGCGACGGTTCGCGGCAGGGGAAGCGCGACGGTGTCGCGGCAGGGAAGCGCGACGGTGTCGCGCAGGGGAAGCGCGACGGTGTCGCGGCAGGGAAGCGCGACGGTGTCGCGGCAGGGAAGCGCGACGGCTCGCGGCAGGGGAAGCGCGACGATGTCGCGGCAGGGGAAGCGCGACGGTGTCGCGGCAGGGGAAGCGCGACGGTGTCGCGGCAGGGGAAGCGCGACGGCGTCGCGGCAGGGGAAGCGCGACGATGTCGCGGCAGGGGAAGCGCGACGGCTTTGCGCACTCTCTTTTTCTCTCTTTCTCTCTCTTTCTCTCTCTCTCTCTCTAGTTATGTATCCTTTAAAATGCTATCATGCTCCTATAATCTCTTCCTTTTTTTCAAATCATTTTATTTTCTAAAAAAAATGTTTAAAGTAAAAAAAAACTAACAAATTGTAAAACACTGCATCATGCACCAAAGATACCTCAAGAGACAACAAAACAGCATGATTTTTTTGTGACAAATTTTCACACTTCCCCGTTTTTGCCCGCATTGTGAACTAAAACCCCCCCCAATAAATCCTGTATAAACTAAAAAAACTCTCTCTCTCTCTTTCTCTCTCTCTCTCTCTCTCTCTCTCTCTCTCTCTCTCTCTCTCTCTCTCAGACACACACACGTGGCTGGCATTGGACTGTAATCCGGCGTTGTCGGACTGTCTCACGTCCCGGCCAGCCAGATTTATCTGCATATCTGTCTCCGTGTCATTTTTATTCATTAAATCCGTTTTATTCTCCGAAAAAAAAGGAGGAAGGGGAGCAGGCGCACGACGGGACCGCCGCTGCGTTGGAGCCGATGAAAGTGCGAGCGACGTCGACGACGCACTTTGGCCGGGAGTTAGTGGCCCTTTCCCCGGCAGCCGCGCGTTCGCCGCGTTCGCCGCGTTCGTCCTGCACGTGTTTCGGCCCCACCTGCGGCCCGTCTCAAACCGGTGGGCTGTTAAAGGGGCGGGTTGCCTCCGAACGGGAAGCTAGCTTCGGTCTCCATCGCACACCACGCGTAACGCCGTGACAGTGCGAGGGAGACAGAGCGCGACGAGAGCACCGTCGTCGTTCGGAAGCACGCCGGGGGAGCCTCTGTTAAACAGCGTGGAGCGGACATCGCGTGGCCGCGGCACATCGTGGGCCGATTGCGGAGCTGTGTGTGTGTGTGAGAGAGAGAGAGAGGGGGGGGGGCAGGGGGTGCTGGGAAGATAGGGGGGGGGGCCTTCTATTGGTCTCACACACAGTGCAAAAGTACAGTGCACACCTACCTTTCGAAGTCCACTGCCAGCTCATCCCCTTACGACGTGTGTGTGTGTATGGGGGGGGGGGCAGCAGCGAGGCGAGCCGCGAGGCCAAGAGGCACTCAATGGCGGCTGGTTGCGTCCCAAATGAAGACGTGAGCGAGTGGTTCGAATTGGATGAAATTAGACCCCCCGCGCCGCCGCCTAGCGCGCCGGGGTGGAAGTGGCGGTGGTGGAGGCCGTGGTGGTGGTAACCGTGGAGGGAGAGCTTTGGGCAAGTAATTGAGTGGGATGTAGCGCTATTACGGGGAGTCTTGGCCTGCCGCGCGCGCCCACATGCAATCCGTTATCGTGACCCCGAAGCGATGCCGAAGCGATGCCGAAGCAATGCCGAAGCGGTGCCGAAATGGAGTCGAAGCCTTTCTCTGGTGCCAATTATCCGCTCGTGTTTACCACCGCGTGCTGCACCTGCGATGGCCATTTGACTCTCCGACGCCGTGGACGCCGTGCTGCCACCGGCTTTCTCGTCCTGTTTCGCGGAGTTTGCCACGCGGTGTGGATACAGGCCGCCGAACAGCGGCATAGCCCGGCACAGGCGCGCGGGGATCCTGCGTACCTACAGGGGTTGGCTCAGCATGCGCCGTGTGCTCTGCGCGCTCCGAGGCCCCCCACCGCACCGCGCACCGCGTCCCCAAGGGCCATCGCTGTGTAACTCTACCCCGGACCCGGCCCGGCAGGCCCGGGTTTCGTCGCTCTGTCTCTCTCGCACTCATGCGGCGTACCGCACAGGTGCAAGAGAGACAGAGCGACGAAACCGACTGGAGTCAGTCCACAGCACGGCACGGCCCGGCCGCCGCGGAGGCAGGCCGCACGGGGACA